AGCGGAAAAGAAGAATAGGTACGCTACTCTTCCCACCGATGTTGGGATTACCAACTCAGTCCCGGTGAAGCGGACGAAAAAGAGGAAGAAGAATCAAGGACAGTCCGATGATACGAGCGGACGCGACGATGTTACCGCGACGAACGCTAGCAACATTGGTGATTTCGGCGACACCGTCGAAACCGAGAATTCTGCCGGCCCGAGTGCGGCGAAAGTCAAGCTTCCTCCACTGGTGGTGAAGGTAGTGCCTCTCAAGACGCTCATTGGCGATTTCGCATCGCTGGCCATCGCAGCTGAGTACAAGATCAGCAGGATCGGCACTAAGGTGATGCTCCGGACGAAAGCGGAATACGAAATTGCCGTCAAATTTCTGAAGGATTCCAATCCGGAATACTTCACGCACGACATCCCCGGTGAGAAGCCCTTCAAGGTAGTCATCAGGGGTCTACCGAATGTTGATCCCAAGGCGATCGAAGAAGCACTCAAGGACCGGTACAAGCTAACCCCAACCGCTGTCTTTCGGATGACGAGGAGAGACGAAAACGTGAAGACGTACCTGGATTGTCTTTTCCTGGTGCACTTCCAGAAGGGATCGGTGACGCTGAATGCGCTGCAGGCTATTCGCTCAATGTACTCCATCATCGTACGATGGGAGCCGTACCGTGGAGGCCATCGCAATGTGACCCAGTGCCAACAATGTCTGAACTTTGGACACGGTACTCGCAACTGCAACATCAAGCCACGCTGCAGCAACTGCGCTCACGAACACGCCACTTCTGGCTGCCCTGCGGATGGAGCCGTGGCGTTAAAATGCGCCAACTGTGGTGGTGCACATCAAGGTTCTGACAGACAGTGCTTCAAACGCGAGGACTTCAAACGCATCCGAAAACAGGTGGCAACTAATAACCAACCAGGACGCAAGAAGGACAAAGTCCCGGCATTTCGGACGGAGGATTTCCCGCCTCTTCGTGCTCCTCAGCAAAGGCAAGCGAACTCGCGGGTGCATTCCGAGCAAGCAACTTCTGGTGAATCTGCTGGCCAAAGCTCTCCATCCCCCCTGGACTATGGAGACAACCAACAGCGCAAAACAACAACCCCGATCTGTTCTCAGCGGATGAACTAATGGAAATTTTCGTCAACATGTCCGGTGCTCTTCGTAAGTACCGCAATAAGCCCGAACAGATCCAAGTGCTCGGTAAGTTCATCATCCAGTATGGCGTCTAAACCGCTAACTATCGTCACCTGGAATGCTTGCTCTGTAAGAGCAAAAGAGATTGAGCTTGCCGACTTCCTCCGCAAGCACAGCATCGACGTGGGCCTTCTAACCGAGACCCATCTAAAGTCCGGCGACAGATTCTGGTTGCCTGACCACAACATTATTCGGCTTGATCGCACCAGCTCTAGGGGGGTGGTGTTGCGATCGTCGTCAAAAAAGGAATAAAATACTACACTCTGTCCCATATCCACACCTCTATCATCGAGGCCCTTGGTGTGGAGGTGAAGTCGTCGACTGGATACGTCCAGTTCATCGCCGTCTACTGCCCACGACAGTGTGCCGCCAGCAGTGGACTAGCGGCTAAATTCAAGGAGGACCTGTCCACCATCACCCGTACCGGTTCCCGCTTCGTAGTCGGAGGAGATCTAAATGCTCGCCATGGCCTGGTGGAACTACCAGCAGAACCAGAACGGCCGTTTCCTGTTCGACCACTCACAGCATGGGCTGTACTCCGTACAACATTCATCTCACCGGCGGGCAACCCATCGACGCTAGACCTGTTCCTGTCAAATACCAGCTTGTCCAAGCCGGTAGCCTTGAACGAACTCAGCTCCGACCACCAACCGGTGGTGGCTGAACTGGGCTACAACGTGGCCCCTGCTCCAAGTCTGCACAAGGACTACCACCGCGTAAACTGGGCCCAGTTTGGACGCGTGGTAGACAGACACATCATCGACAACCCACCGCTTAACACCGTGGAGGACATCAACCGAGCGTTGGAAGGACTCCACCAAGCCATAACCGTAGCTGACGAGGCGTGCGTCCGACGAGTTCCTGTGAGGGGTAAGTTTATTGCCATTGATTCCCACACCCAACTTTTGATTCGCCTGAGAAATGTTCGTATACGCCAGTTTCAGAGGACTGGAGATCTGGGCAAAAAACGTGAAATGGCCGATCTGAACAGGCAGATTACTACCAGAATGGACTCACTCCGAAATGAAAGTTGTGTTGTCCAGAATCTGGACGACCGCTCCAGACCATTCTGGAAGGTAGCCAAGGTCCTGAAAACTCATCCCAAACCCGTTCCACCTCTCAGAGTCGATAATGATGACGATCGGCTTTTAATCACCCCACAGGAGAAAGCAAATGCGATCGGCAAGCATGTCGCTTCATCGCATTTGCTTGGCTCGACTATCCAAAGTCCGCTCGAAAATCAGGTTGCGCAATGCGTTCTAAACCTACATGCCTCCCCTTGTGTCATGCCTCCGGAGGATATGATTACAGTACAATAGATTTGCTCAGCGCTGAAATGCACCAAGAACATGAAGGCTCCCGTATTTGACGGTATTTTCAACTTGATCTTGAAGAAACTCAGCATGAAAGAGCAGTCTCTTCTAACCGCTATCTTCAACAGATGTTTGGAACTGCACTACTTTCCAAGCATCTGGAAAGTAGCAAAAATCATACCAATCCGCAAACCCGGTAAGGATCCAACATTGTCTTCAGCGCTGAGCAAATTGTTCGAGAAACTCATTCTCAATCGTTTGCTCAAGTTTGTCGAGGAAAATAACATTCTCCTTCCGGAACAGTTTGGGTTCAGAAAGGGTGATGAATAACATCCGAAGTAACAAAGCTGTATCCAAGTCCACAGACATGGCCTTATTAGACGTTGAAAAAGCGTTTGACAATGTTTGGCATGACGGACTTGTGTACAAGCTTTGTAACTTCAACTTTCCTTCACATCTGGTTAAAATCACCCGTAACTACCTCCAGCAAAGGTCGTTTAAGGTATCGTTGAATGGTTGTCTTTCCGACACGTTTTCCATCCCAGCACGAGTGCCGCAAGGCAGTCTGCTGGGCCCCTTGCTTTTTAGCATTTATACTTCCAACATTCCTCCCCTTGGAGACGGTTGCGTGTTCTTCCTGTTCGCAGATGATACCGCAATAGGCGTCAAAGGAAGGATGCCTCGCGAAATAACGAACAAACTTCAACGATGCCTTAACGCCTTTGCTGATTATGCCACCACGTGGAAAATCAAAATCAATCCCTCCAAAACACAAGCGATCATTTTCCTCCATCGGCAATCGCCCAACCTGAAACCGGCTCCATCTTGTACTGTAATCATGGATGGCACAAGGGTTGAGTGGTCTGCCGAAGTAACCTATCTTGGGATGTTGTTCGATGAAAAGCTCCTCTTCCGTTCGCATGTAGAGAAAACAGTAGTCAAGTGTTCTGTCTTGGTTAGGTGTCTTTATCCGCAGATTTGCCACAGATCCCGCCTCTCAAGGGTGAACAAACTGGCTGTCTACAAACAAATCATAGCACCTGCGATCCTCTACGCAGCTCCGGTGTGGGAATCATGTGCACAGACTCACATGAACAAAATTCAGGTCGCTCAAAATAGAGTGCTGAGGATGGTTCTTGATCGTCCTTTCGACACTAGAATAACAAATTTACACGAAGAGGCAGGTAGTGCCAAAATAGATTCCAGAATTAACGAAATTATCACTAAATTTGCACAAAAATGTATTTTATCAGAACATGCTTTGATTAGCAATTTGTATATAGTAGATTAGGTGTATATATGTAGTAGTTGTAGGTTAGTTGTAGTTGTAAATAGTAGTTATAAGTAGTTTTATTTTTCAATTTAAAACAAACCAATCCCACCAAGGTGGTCATTCTCTAAAACAGGTCTGACTAGGAACTGTAATTAGTAATTAAAATGTCAAATGTACTAAAGTTGAAAAGACGCATCTATGTCATTTGAAAATTCATACATGTAAACCACACAAACACACGAAATAAAGATCATTTAAAGTCAAAGTGTACTGATGGCTTTAAAGCTGAAAATGCTAGTTGGGTACCATTTGTACTTAATGTTATAGGGTGAAAATTAAGTCCATCGTCCACTTGAGAGAGAGACAATTGTTGTCTTCGGCAAGCAAAAAAAATTCTCCAATCAAATAAAGTACACACAAATTGAAGAAACATTTAAGAAGACATCAAAATGCTACACTCGATAGTTTCGTCGCAAATGACCATGTGCAACGTACTGTGCAACGGTGACGTCAAAGAGCACTGATCGAGCTGCAGGCAATTAACAATGTGCAAGGAATAGAATACCTGCCTTAGCTCAGTCAGTAAAGGTGCAACTACAAAGCACGATCATGCTGCAGGATGCTGGGTTCGATTCCTGGTCCGGTCTAGGAATTTTTCGATGCTGACCGATTCGCCATTTGACCTGGAGCTGCTCTATATTAACTCTAAATCACCCAAAGCTAGATACTGAAAAGTGTTGAAGCGATGATAACTTATTCATTTCTCAACAGATTGTATATCTTTACATATAAATAAAACCTAAAATTGCTCAAATTTTGATGCGCTGTAAAGGATTTTGAAAATCTTTTTTTTATCTGAATATATTTTGACTTGAAATTGGTAGTATTTTTTATGTGTTAGGGAGTTACATAACATTAAGTTGAGGGCAGGCGTTAAATTCCAGTTGAGGCATGAGTTATTGTAATTGTAACATCAAAACAAAAAACCCTCGAAATTTTTTAATTTTTTTTTTTTTTTTCAAATATGGAAAATGGATGTAATGTTGGTCTAAATGCCCCTAATTTGGGCCCATACATAAATTCAGCAATCGTCTAGATACTATTGATAAATAGCAGATTTTTAGCGATGGGCCCAATCTTAGATCCATAGGCCAACATTAGAGCCATTTCCCCTATATAATTTTAAACATCTTTTCTCAAAAATGTTTTTTTTTTATTCTTTCAGCTGCTCCTTTTGACGACTCAAAGGCAAATCCATCCATGACAGCTGCAGCACCCCCTCCACCACCACCACCACCACCAGCTCCCATAACACCCCCTCAATTTCCACTCATTTTTGCAGGACCGACTCCGCTTCCATCAACGTCCCTAGCAAAACCCACTGATCCAACGACTGCTGCACCAGCGCCAGATGCTTCTCCAGCAATCCAATACATTCCGCCATCAGATCCAAACCTATTTGCACCAAACATACACTCTCATTACCCTCCCCCACCAGCGAATGGTGAAACTCGTTTCAACGGAGTTACAAGCTACCTTCCACCACCAGCCGGGCCAGTAGCAGATGACGCATCGGTAGATTCCAATCACCCAGACTCTCCCCCTTCAAACCAATACATACCCCCGGCTGATCTATTCCAATTTCCACCAAATATTCATTCCCACTACTATCCTCCACCAATGGGCAATAACTTTTATATGAACGGCCTAACAAGCTATCTTCCTCCACCGGCTGGTCCCACCGACACCTATCTTCCTCCTTCATCCGGAATGTCGGCTGATTCCTCGGCATCCGGCCCACCGGAATCCTCCGACGATATGATCGGAACGATCCCCATCGGTCCAGATTCTCCATACCCTGCATACCTACCACCATCCGGTCCTCAGAGTCCAGCTACTCCGAAGCCCCAAATGATGATGGGCATGCCACCTGATCAAAACATGATGATGGGCATGCCACCACAAAAAGACATGATGATGGGCATGCCACCCGGCCCACCAATGAGTGGTATGCCCATGGACATTCCTTTCGACTTCCACGGATACGATATCTACTATCCTCACGATCACTTCCCGGAGTACATTTTCGATCACGACCACGACCATTACCACCATGACGAATCCCCACCAACAACGACTCCTGCTCCTCCGCCACCACCCCCGCCACCGGCTAAAGTCAAAAACTACAGCTACTACAAAATCAGTCGAACGCTGTGGTACATTCCGCTGTATTTCACCATTTGGTTCGTGTTCTACATTCTGATTTTGATCTTACGCTCCGTTGCTAGGCATAAGGTGAGCTTGAAGACGGTCCAAATCAAGTCTACGCAACAATTTGTAAACAATTTCAACTTTCTCTCAAGGTCAACTATCCCAACCAATACACAGGTGACGTAATACAAACAGCAATAACAAGATCGCTAGATGACATGGAATTCATAACGCATGAACAAGCAATGCACAAGGCGAATGTAATGACACAATTCGTGATGCAACAGATCGACGATTTCAAAGAGAAATACATAGAATAAGAGGAACTGTCAACAGAGGAGATGAGAATGGACAACGATTGATCATTAAACATTTTTCGTAATGATTCTGATGATTTCCCATTATCGACGGCACCGAACTCGTGGAAGATGTTTACTGAGCAATGAATTGACTGATTGTACCAATAAACCATTGTTATTATTAAGACATGGAAAAGCAGTGCCGTTTCAGAAAGAACTTCCTACTAGGATAAATGTAATTGATCGCTTAAACATAAGTGGTTTGCCTGTCACTAATAGCACCCAAATGAAAGAACTTTTGAATGACGGATTCGACCGTACTTTAGAATATTGGTTTTTTTGAAAAAGCTAAAGTGTAGTGCCACACTTCGTCGTACTTCGTTTCGCTTCGTAATATGTTCACGAGATCGACCATTTCACGGTCCGTTGCATATTTGTTTACACCAATCGGCAATTATTAGGTGTGTATAGAAATTGATGACAAAATTAGCTGGAACGTCATTGGTGGAAAATCTAGATCACCAAACTTTAGAACGTGATAACGTCCACAATCACCAAGGCTCACTCGGTGATACTTAGCGCCTTTCCGGAGTACTGAAAATGAAATTTCTCCCTCTATCTAGATCACCCAGATAATAGTCTGTCTGAGACAAACGATCGGTTCTTTCTGTGCAGCATCCCGACCGCATTAGGGCATTGAATTTTAAAGTGACACACCGATCAGACGGATTTATTTTCTTCCGATCGGTTCGACGGCACCTGTGAAAGACAATGAATTGTAGTACATTCTGGAAGTGAAAAGTGAATCATTAGCGTTTCAAAAATTTCCGTTGACCGACAGAAACGTAGAGGGGAAGAATGACAGTGAAACTGGTTTTGAGTGAGTTGCTTCTGGGTGTGCTGCTAGTGAGCTATGCAAAGGCTGGAGTTATACAGATCAGCGCATACGGCAACGTTTTCAGACAAGGAGCTTCTCCATTGAGAAATAACTCGGATGCAAGGTTAGTTCATTCAAGAGGCAGCTTGGGAAGGCTGTTAACGATAACATGTGGATTAAATTTCAGTGCTGGAACTGACCAAGCAATGAATAGTGGATTCAATCGAAATAGTGTCGATGGATTGTCCATGAAGCCTGTAAATTATGGAACCATGACTTTTCAGAATTCGTTTATAGAACCTGGTGAGATCTTAAGATTCAGATGACGGTGCAGAACATGTTGTAGATTAAATTCATTGCGAATGTTTCAGCGGTGGCCTCGGACCGATTCACCCCAGGAGAAGCATATGGTGGAACCGTTTTCAAAATACTAAAAGCTAAACACGGAAAACGAAAAGGCTATCAGTACCAGAAGCCCAATGGTAAGCTTTGTTTAGTAATCGATGAATGAGTGTCACAGCAGGTAATGCGTTCTTCAATGTTGTTCGTTCGTTCGTTGATGGTGGTTTACAACTGCGTCCATTACCTAGGAATATTGTTGTCTGACCCATTTTATTTTAGTGCTAGTCACATATCCTTTCACAATTAAGGTGTGATAGACATTTGTCATATGTCAACTCGTCTTATAAAGTGTAATACCATTTTAGGATTGCTTTTCCAAACTTCAAATGGTTCTAATATCCCTTTTCCAAATATTGACATTCTTTGATTGAACAGAGCTCCACAGCTGCAGAGTATATGTTCAGCAGTTTCCTATTTTATATAAGTCATATCTGCCAGGGCAGTGACCAGTCATGAGACCAATTATTACCCGAAGATCTCTTTTACTAAGATTAAGCAAAATCCGGGCTTTTGCTGCACTTGGTCTTATAAATCTTTTCGCCTGTCTGGATACCTCAGTGGTGTTCCAGTTGGATTCGACTATGGAGACGTTTCCCAACTTTTTAGTTCCATTCTTATAGTATACTCAGGGACTCCACAAAATGGTTCCGGACCGATGAAGTTCGATGCAGAAGCACATCCTTCAATGCCACAATGGCCGGGCACCCACTATAATATGACTTCGTTCCTTTCGGCCAATGGTTTTAAGGAAAGAATACATTCCCAAAATGGGCTACAAAATGGTGAGTTGACAATCTGGAAGGAGCGGAACACCTAGCCCTGGTCCTCACAAGTTCCTACTTCACGCCTCTCCGAGTCATATGATAACAAAAGACTACCAGCTGAAACATGGACACAGCTGGGTGGCGTAGCCTGGGCAATGTTGCCAGTCCGGCAATAGCAAAGTGCAACGCGAACACTGGCGCGGTAACCATAGTAATGTGATAGAGGAAATGCTTCACCAAACCCGAGCGTCTGTTCACCATGGAGGTGCGGCTCAAAACGGCGTCTGTTCTCCATGTTAGGAGCGGATGATCACCGTCCTAGTGCCAGCGTGGGACTCTAAACAGAGCTGTGCACGATGGTCCCCCGACGAGACAGGGGGTTGGGGCAGGCCCAACAAGCCACCCTGAAAAAAAACAAAGTTGCAAAAACTGAAGAAAGAAATACGGATCGGAATAATCGGCACAGACCTTTGCGACGAAATAAGGACTACGATTGGAAACTCGGAACATGGAACTGCAAATCGCTCGGCTTCCCTAATCTATGACGAACTTCAACTATGCAACTTCGAAGTCGTAGCACTGCAGGAACTTTGCTGGACGGGACAAAAGGTATGGGAAAGCGGGCATCGAGCGGCTTCTTTCTACCTGTGGCACCACCAACGAGCTGGAAACCGGCTGCGTAAGATGCGCCAACGCGCAGCCGATCAACGCGAGGATGTGCAAGTTGAGGATTAAGGGCCGTTTCTTCAACTACAGCATCATAAACGTGCACTGCCCACACGAAGGGAGACCCGACGACGAGAAGGTGTACGACGGCTGTTCGCAACGGGGCAATGTATAGACCGGCAATCGGGCCAAACAGCCTGCATACCGTATCGAACGACAACGGCCAGCGATGCGTGAACTTTGCAGCCTCTCGGGGTATGGTAGTTCGAAGTACCTTTTTTCCCCGCAAGCATATCCACAAAGCCACCTGGAGATCACCTGACCAACACACAGAAAACCAAATCGATCACGTTCTAATCGACGGGAAATTCTTCTCCGACATTATCAACGTCCGCACGTACCACAGTGCGAACATAGATTCGGACCACTACCTAGTTGCAGTATACATGCACTCAAAACACTCGACGGTGCATAACACCCGTCGAAGTCGAACGCCGCGGCCCAACATTGAGCAACTACGGGACGCCGGAGTTGCCCAGGACTACGCGCAGCAGCTGGAAGTTGCACTACCCACGGAAGAGCAGCTTGGCGCAGCTTCTCTTGAAGATGGCTGCAGGGACATCCGTTCCGCCATAGGTAGTACTACCAACAATCAATACGAAACTAACGATTTTAAATTGGCTCACCACTTTAGTAGCCTATTGGTCCCAAGCAAACGATTAACGTACCCTATTCTAGTTGAAATTCTATTACTACACTATGTTTGTTTTGATTCGCTATGAAAGTTTGACAGATAACATCAGGGGTGTGTGGATTCATGCAGAACATGCAGGGGTGAGTGAAATAGCTTGGGACTGCTTGGGACCGTTGTTCTGGTACTGAGTGAGCCAAAAATAATAATGATTTTCTTCGGGACCCAGTGGTCTTAGAGTTACCTCTATGGTACTACTGCAGCGGCACTAGGTACTGCAATCCCGGACCGAAGAAATGACTGGTTTGACGGCGAATGCAAACTGTTAGTAGAGCGATACAGACAAGCGCGGAACAGACAAAACTCGGTTTTCCGAAGGAAGAAGCGTCAGCAGGAAGACCGAGATCGCGAGGCGATGGGAAATCTGTACCGCGTAAACGACACACGGAAGTTCTACGAGAAGCTAAATAGTTCGCGCAAAGGCTACGTGCCGCAAGCCGATATGTGCAAGGACTTGAACGGTGACCTTCTCACGAACGAGTGTGAGGTGATTGAGAGGTGGAAGCAGTACTATCATAGAGGTAACTCTAAGACAAGTAGGTCCCGAAGAAACGTGCTCAACTTTTTGGCTCACCTCTGGTACTATCTTCGGTCCCAAGCTTGTTGAATCACCCCTCGAAACATAGGAAAAACCAATAACCCCTCATTTTATCTGTCAAACTTTCATAGCGAATCAAAACAAACATTGCGTAGTACTAGAATTTCGACTAGAATAGGGTACGTTAATCGTTTGCTTGGGACCAATAGGCTACTATAGTGGTGAGCCAATTTAAAATCGTTAGTTTCGTATTGATTGTTGGTACTATGACGAGCACCTCAACGGTGAAGCAGCAGAAAACGAAGGTGGCACGGCAACAGACCTCGGAGCACGCGCAGAAGACGACAGGCTACCGGCCCCTGATCTTCAAGAAGTTGAGGAGGAGATCGGTAGGCTGAAGAACAACAAAGCAACTGGTGTAGATCAACTACCAAGTGAGCTATTAAAATACGGTGGTGAAGCACTGGCTAGAGCGCTGCACTGGGTAATTGCCAAGATTTGGAAGGAGGAGGAGATATTACCGGAGGAGTGGATGGAAGGTGTCGTATACCCAATCTACAAAAAGGGCGACAAGTTGGATTACTGTAACTACCGCGCGATCACACTGCTGAGCGCCACTTGTACTCTCCCAAATTCTATGCCGCCGCCTGTCATCATTTGCAAGAGAGTTCGTGGGGCAAAACCAGGCGGGATTCATGGGTGCCCGCGCTACCACGAACCAAATTTTCGCGATTCGGCAGGTTCTGTAGAAATGCCGCGAATACAACGTTCCCACATATCATTTGTTCATCGACTTCAAATCCGCATACGACACAATCGATCGAGATCAGCTATGGCAGATTATGCATGAGTACGGATTTCCGGATAAACTGACGCGATTGGTCAAGGCGAGGATGGATCGAGTGATGTGCGTTGTTCGAGTATAGGGAACACTCCCGAGTGCCTTTGAACCTCGAAGAGGGTTACGGCAAGGTGATAGACTTTCGTGTCTGCTATTCAACATCGCGTTAAAATGTGTGATCAGAAGAGTTGGGATAGACACGAGTGGCACGATCTTCAAAAAGTCCATCCAGCTTCTTGGCTTTGCCGATGACATTGACATCATGGCACAAACGTAGTAGTATTGAAGCATATTCAATCGGCCCTTGTAAACGTCAATTGGGATCGATGTTTGAGCATTATTGACCCGCCCTGAAGAGAGCCTCCAGCCGGGCCTCTTGATCAGCGTCAGCAGTCTCTCGATTCGGAGAGTGGCGCTTAAGCTGCTGTTTGCAAAGAGCTTAAAACATTCGTTACCTTTTAAATCATAACATTGACATTATGGAAACGTACATCAGACTGAAGGCTGAAGCTAGGCGGATTGGACTTGCCATCAACGCATCAAAGACAAAATACATGAAAGGAAGAGGTTCAAGGGATGACAATGTTAGCCTCCCGTCCCGAGTTCAGATTGACGATGACGAAATCGAGGTGGTCGATGAGTTCGTGTATTTGGGCTCACTGGTGACCACCGAAAATGATACCAGCAGAGAAATTTAAAGACGCATTATGGCAGGGAATCGTGCCTACTTTGGACGCCGGAGGACGCTTCGGGCTAATAAAATTCGCCGCCGCACGAAGTTGACTGTCTACAAGACGCTGATTAGACCGGTGGTCCTCTACGGCCACGAGACCTGGACTATGCTCGTGGAGGACCAACGCACCCTTGGTGTTTTCGAACGGAAGGTGTTGCGTACCATCTACGGTGGACTGCACCAGCTGCTGGGAGAACCATCCATCGTCCACATTGCAAAAATTGGGCGACTACGGTGGGCTGGGCACGTCGTAAGAATGCCGCACGACGACCCAGTGAAAATGGTTCTAGAAAGTGACCCAACAGGAACAAGAAGAAGAGGCACGCAGCGGGCAAGTTGGATCGACCAAGTAGAAGGCGACCTGCGGACCCTTCGCAGACTATGAGGCTGGCGAAGTGTGGCCATGGATCGAGTACAGTGGAGACGACTTCTTCGGACAGCAGAGGACAACAAGGCCTTAGCCTGATTGGTAAGGTAAGTAATGTATGAACAATTTGGATAGTTACTAAAGGATAGTGATGATAATAAACAATCGGTGTATCCCTCAACAAATTATCAGCTTGACAGCTCAGCCCAACTAACGAAAGTCTTTCACTAAGTGGACCACATGTTTAGCCCAACGAGCAAAAGTTGACTGAAAGCACAGGACACTTCTAAATGAACCAAAATCGTTGATTTTTAAGTAGGGGAAAAGTTGGTTTCGGCAATACCTTAACCTATTATCGTCAGGGGGGTAAACAACGTCCTTGAGAGCTCAATTTTGGCATGTGGATACATTGTGTTTCAGAGCAACTATTGGCCAAATTTGAGTGCTCTAGGACTTTGTTTACCCCCCTGACGATAATAGGTTAAGGTATTGCGGAAGCCAACTTTTCCCTAAATGTTTTGAACTTTTGTTCGCCTAAAATTTATTTTGTCAGAAAAAATCAAAATCTGGCACGGCTCTTTCCAATTTGAATGAAACTTTCAGCACGTTTTTAGCATTAGAGATTATGCTTTTCCACAGGTCATGAGACCATTTTGGTTTAAGACTAATTTTGACTAAAGACCTGTATGAAATTTTATGCACATCCGCAGACAGTAATGAGCAAAGGCGGGCGCACACTTTTGCCTTTAGATTTGAAGACATACTTCACATCTCCTCGTACATCGTGTAGCATAATATTTCAATGCATCTCAAATTCTCTAAGTTTCAGAGCTGTTAGATTTACAGCACCCAAATTTCCATAACATGCAACAGTGTCGAATTTCTCAAAGGCAACAAAGACTTTTGTTGTAGCCCACCAAATTGACACACTCAAGCCAATTGACAAAACAGAGATGTAAAATAGCAACAAGCGACTTGCGCACATGTTGCACTAGAATGTTAACGTTTGGTTTAATTGTCACCACATGTTTTCTTTCCGCATAGCGTTGAATGAAAACTCAACTTCAATTGTTTTCCCTTCCTTTTCGGCTACACTCGTCTATGTACTTCCTTGTACGATAGCGAGTGTATTGGTTCATGATGTTTTGTAAACCAGACAAGGTACCTCTCTCAGACTACTTGAAATGTGTAGAGTTTAAGTTTCGTTAGTTTAAGCTAGAGAAATAAAATTCACTACTAACCGTTACGCGAACCGAAACGGATGCTTTCTCCGAAACAAGTATCACAGCCAAATATACTTTACAATCATACGGGTTAGGCAAAAGGTGTGCGTTTGACTTTGTACTGTCGCATTAATGGCCCTTCGCTCATTTTCAACTTCTATTCAATTTTCATGCTGCCGTACTCTAACGAAACTATCTACCTACTCTCTTCTAAGATCATTCTCTAGCTAATAAATTTTCACACTAATGCTTCATGTTAGATAGTATTTCCAACCAAATCTGAAAATCGCAAACTTTGCGTATGAAGTTACAAAAAAAAAAAAAATTTGAAAAGGTCTTATTTTTACCAATTTTCTAAACATTATTTTTACAATACCTACTGTTCGCACCGATCACCACTTTCACGGGTTTCTACCTAGAAAAAAAAAACCATACCACTGCAAGATCACTTACTCAATCATGAGTGACCCGAGTAGGTGAACTGTAGGAGATATAGTTGACCTAGTCTGCCCAATGTTCCTTATCAATCTATCCCGTACCATATCGATCGCTTCACGATCAACGGTAGGGCCGAGTTTAGGTAGGAAACCGATGATAAAAACATCGCACGCACTTAAATAGATCCCTAGAATTTTATATAATTTAGTCCGCAATAAACCTTTCACAGGAACAGTCGTTTGCTTAAAACTAAATACAGTCCACATAATTTACCCCGTTAAAGTACTCGCTTTCTGTGCTTTCTGTGCGCGTTATCCGACGACTTTGAACCCAGTGATTAAGTCCCTGATTGAACACCTACGTATAAAAAAAATAGCTTTTCTACTTGAAATTCCTCCATCTTGGTTTAACCTTTATTAAATACCTTATGACGTAAGGTCATCGCAGAACAAAAATTCAAAAAAATTGTACGTTGGAATGAAGAAAATTCACACTATATGTTTTTTTTTTCAAATATGTACATTTTTGTTCAATGTATATTTTTTTTCCTTTGAAGTTTTATGAGTTCTCTACAACTTTTTCTCAGATACCATTTTGATATAATAAACGGTTTTAGGTTAAGTTTTTTTTAAAAATTCGTATGAGACAACACATACGCCCTTTTTCAAAAATTAGTCTTGAGTCAAAATGGTCTCGTGATCTGTGGAAAAAAACATAATCTCCCATACTGTAGACATGTTGAAAGTTTTATCAAAATCGAAGGGGCTCGTGCCAAGTTGTTTGCTCATTTGACTGAGAATTGCTCAGGAAATGATGTTTTGGACGAAAGAGGTTGTATTTCGCAAAAGTATTAATCAATTTATTTATTCATTCATCTGACTTTTTGTCGTCCTAATGCATGTGATGGGGAAAAGCCAATTTAAATGGCGTGAAAATTCCATACCTTTTCACAATACAGTACAAACATTACAAAACAAGCACATTTGTGAACATAACATAGAGTAAACATGGCTTCAAATATCAACTGTAGCCAACAACATAAAACTTATAATTCAATCAGCTCCATTGGACATCCATCATCCGAAGCAATCCTCGTCGACAGTGGTGAATCGAGAAAAAATATATACAGGTAGCATAATCGTTACAATTTAGGAGCAACGGAATATTACTCACCTTTCACAGTAACGAATCTCACTCGATCCATTAATGCAATTCAGTCAGTCAACGCTTAAATGTTGCCACAGTAGAGTTGAAGTCGAAGAGGATGCAGACTTCGTTGAACCTAGTCGACATGAAGCGGACAGGATCATGAAACCCGTACAAGGAGTTCCGGGGCTCAAGCAGCAACAAGTTTCGCTGACAAAGCATTCGTTCAGGAACGTAAAGGTTAAGTTGACCTAGTATCTCCGGTACGTCAGTTTCTCCTATGAGATTTTTTTCAACAAACACCTCTTGGGCATCATTGCATCTCTACTCAAGCGTCTGCAGTCGCAATAATCTGCATCGATCTCCATCTCCATCCAAGTTCAACGGATCTCACCACGGAAGGCGTCGTAGAAATATCTCACAAATTTTCTCTGAATTACTTCGATCCTACCAGTCCAGGTTGACTGGTACGGGAACCATACTACACAGCAAAAAATAATTTTAATATTAAATACATCCTACAAACCAGTTCATGATCTTGTTAATTTGTGACGTGGCTGAATATTGAAATGTTTTGATCTCTAAATTTTGTCCAAGTCTGTCCAATTTTGGACTTCGAGAATCTGAAAATTTAAACTTTAAGCTTCAAAGCCCCACACGTCCATTGAGATTAACCCAAATTTAAGTTTAGTTTACTCATAAATCGAAAAAAAAAAATGTTCAAGAATTCAGTGATGATCTAATTCGCCTCATGTTTTCCAGGTTTTTCCAGGAAAAAATTCCAAATATGAGAAAAGTAAAGATTGGATTTTCTCAGTCTATTGGTATTACTCCTAGACTGAGTAAAATTTTCGTCACTTTTCCTCATTTTCCGGCAGATTTTTTAGGTTTTCCCCAGAAAACATGAGGCAAATTTACTCATCGATGAGATCCTGCAGTTTTTGCGATTGGTCATTGATCGTTTGAGACACTAGCTAAGCTACTAGCTAAGAAGATGATGCAAAATGGAATCAAAAATAAAGAGGAAGCTTAAAGCAACAAAGTTAAAAATAACTAGAAAATTTCATCAACTATTTAAAACGTGTGACATCGACCAACATTCCTTAAGATGGCCTTTTATACATTTTTTCAGATGCCTCATTAGATGACACCAAAACAAATCCATCCTCACCAGCGCCAGCTTCACCTCCACCTTCTCCAACTGCAGCTGTTGTAACCGTACCAGTGATTCCAGCTCCCATTACGCCCTCTCCACTTCACAACCTTATAGCAGGACCCACCCCGCTTCCAGAAACGACCTCAGAGAAAAATTCGTTAGCAATACAATACATCCCATCATCAGATCCAAACCTATTTGCACCAAACATACACTCTCATTACCCTCCTCCACCAGCGAATGGTAAAACTCGTTTCAACGGAGTTACAAGCTACCTTCCACCAGCAGCCGGGCCAGTAGCAGATGACGCATCGGTAGATTCCAATCACCCAGACTCTCCCCCATCAAACCAATACATACCCCCGGCTGATCTATTCCAATTTCCACCAAATATTCATTCCCACTACAATCCTCCACCAATGGGCAATAACTTTTACACGAACGGCCTAACAAGCTATCTTCCTCCACCGGCTGGTCCCACTGACATCTATCTTTCTCCTTCATCCGTAATGTCAGCTGATTCCTCGACATCTGACCCACCCAGTTCACCGGACTCCTCCGACGATTTGGTCGGAACGATCCCCATCCATCCAGATTCTCCTTACCCAGCCTACCTACCACCATCCGGTTCTCAGGGCCCAGTTACCCCGGCTCCAATACCCCAATACATGATGATGGCCATGCCACCAGCTCAAAACATGATGATGAGCATGCCACTCGGGCCGCTAATGAGTGGTCCTCCCATGGACATTCCCTTCGGCTTCCATGGATATAAGTACAATCATCCTCACGATCACTTTCCGGAGTACTTCTTCGATCACGATTACCCCCACGACCACCATGACAAACCGCCATCAACGACGACTCCGGAACCTCCACCACCGCCACCGGCTAAAGTTAAAAACTACAACTACTACTACATCAGTCGAGTGTTTTGGTACTTCCCGCTGTACTTTACTTTATACTTCGCCATCTACATTGTGGTTTTGATCTTACGTTCCCTTGCTAGGTATAAGGTGAGATTGAAGACGGACCATGTTGAGGCAACAATTTGCTAACAATTTCAATTTTCCCTCAAGATCGGTTATCCCAACCATTTGTCCGGAGTTGTTCCACCCGCTAATTGGGATAAAATAGTCACAAGATCTCTGGATGACATGCAATTCCTAACGCAAGAACAAGCAGCCCTCAAGGCGGATATTATGGCGCAATTCGTGATGAAACAGATTGACGATTTCAAAGAAAAGTACATTGGATAGGTCACCTGTCTACCAAAGATGATAATGGGCAACTATTGATCACTAGACATTTTTCATAAGGATTCTGATGATCACCGGTCATTAGCGACTGCAAATTCGTGGAAGATGTTCACTGAGCAATGAGTTGACTGATTGTGTTAATAAACTTGTATTATATAAACTGTATAACAGTGTTGTTTTGGAAAGAACTTCCTAGCTGTGTGAATTTGTTTTTTCAAGGCCTTGATGAGCCTAAATAGACGCACGAGACAGCCTCATTACGCAAGTCAAAACGTAAATATTTTTCATACAAGCATTCATACAAAAAATGCTACATTTCGACTTGCGCAATGAGGCTCCTGATCTTGATTTACATCAATGTTATTAAACTAGAGTCGGTGTATAATGAGTCACGCCTAGAGTGAAGCCAAGTCTACCTATTAAACTATCAAATCGGCTACGTATCGTGCAAAGTAAATAAACATTACGATGCTATGAAAGCTCCACGAAAGGTATTGCTATATTGTTATGGTATATGTTTGGTAATGATCAGTAATGAAAATTTGTAATATTTAGATGTTGAGATAATTCGAAACAAAATCACTGATTTAATGATTTACTATAGCCGCTAATTAGTTTTCTCACTAGAAGTCATTTGAAGTTGATGCAGCAGTCCAATTGACAATTGAAAGGAAAGGGAATCTTTCGAAAACCTTGATACGAGTTCCACTGTTTTTCTTTTGACGTGATTATCATATAGACTTTAATGTAAACAGGCAATGTGCATTTGTCGTCTCTTTCGTTTTACCGCTGTTGACGAAGATTGACGTCATACTCCGAACAATAATTTAAACAGCAGGAGAACGAAAGAGGCGACAAATAAACATTGTACCTGTTTACATTATAATTATATCTCACACAACTTTTCAAATAGTTCAATCAATCTACATTGATTCATAAAAACGATTCCAGTCGTGTTTGTCGTATTAGATGTTAGATTGCTGCTTCTTTCATCGCACTGTGTATAGAAAATATCCGGAAATGTCTTAATACGTGGCGATCCAAAGAGGTAGTCGATGAAAGGAGTCGATCCCAATGTCCCAAGCGACACCAATGTATATATATTAGACTGATGCAAATTTTGACATTTTCGCTCCACAGTGCTCAAACGGTTCCAAATCGGGTCCTGATTAGCCTCCGAAAGTTTAAACTCATTTGAAAAGAAACTGACTTGGCACAAACCATTTGAAGTTTATATGGAAATTACTATGGGAAATCCAAACTTTGTGTTCATTGTCTTCTTACCTTTTTCCATATTACACTGTTCAAAAATTCAAAAGCTATACTTATGGAAAATTTTCTCAGCTTCAACTTAGCAGAATATAGTTGTTGAGCCAAACGTCAAATTAAATAGTTATTAATTGTTTAAGAGATTGATAATCTTATGGCATGATCAAGCAGCTGTTTTGTGAGCAACACTGTATCTTGCAGTGTGACATAGTAGCCATGATTTTTGTGCTCTATTCCAAGCGCCAGAAACACCAATGTTGCCTGCTGAACAGTTGATTGAGCATAATCGTAAGACATTAGTGGCTTGAATTATTGATAACTTTTGATGCTTACATTATATTGAAAAGTGGTTCAGGACAAAGTTGTAGCTGAGAAAATTTTCTATGAGCTCAGTTATCATTTTTTAAAGCAGAGCGATATGATAAATTATTAGATGGATATGAACAAAACATTTGTTTTTCTTATAGTAATTTCCATATAAACTTCAAATGGTTTGTGCCAAGTCAGTTTCTTATCGAATGAGTTCAAATTTTGGGATACTAATCAGGACCCGATTTGGAACCGTTTGAGCACTATGGAGCGAAAATGTCAAAATTTGCATCAGTCTAATATATATGTACACAGTTTAAAAAGTAGAAGGGTCTGTGCCTAGGGGCACAAACGGAAGCTTGACGTAGGACCGCTAGTGGACGGAATAAATGTGAAGAGCATTAAGTTCTTTTAATTGATCAAATCAGGCATAACATTTGATAACGGCACAAAAGCATTTGTAAACAAACATTCTAAGGCCCTTTACACGCGAACTAAAGTACGCCCACGCAAACCAATACCACTTACAGAAAGGTGATAGTTGCCCCTATGCGATGATGTTGTTGGTTTGCGTGGGCGTACTTTGGTTCGCGTGTAAAGGGCCTAAGAAGGTTTGTTTACAAATGCTTTTGTGCCGTTATCAAATGTTATGCCTGAAATATCTATTATCTCAACTCTTTCCGGTTTTGAATTTTAGGCGATCCAAATTTGTAGTAATCTTTTTCAAAAAGAAAGTTGATTACGAGAATCATTTTGAAAATCCCGGTTTTTCCCGGTTTTCCCGGTTCAAATCTTAAAAATTCCCGGTTGTTAATATGCAACAAAAAAAAAACAAAGTTTACTGATAGGAAAAAAAATGTGATTTAAGAAGATTCCCAAGATTCTGCAGCAGTTCTGCAGAACTTTTCTTCAAAATTTGTGATTAATAATATGCTTCGTGATGCAAGATTTGGAGAAACAATAATTAAAATGTGAAATTTTGAATTTTTTTCAAGATCACAGTTTTTAAAAAAAAAAACTTCATAATTATGAGTCGTGGAGTCATAATTGTCACGCTCTGAGACTTGGAAGCATTTTAAGGGTAATAACAAATTACATAGCAATCTGTAGAATCTGGCGGACAAACCCTGGAATTTTTAGTAAAATTTAAAAGAATTCAAAGTGTTGATTAAAAACAAATATTGAGAAGGATTCCCACACAGTTTTCGAAGGAGAAGAGCAGATTTCCAGAATTATTCTTACATGAAATCCATAGAAATTGTTAGATGAATTTGGAAGGATTTCTTTGGAGAAGAATGCATGTTCTAAATTAAACTGTTAGGTAATTTTAGTAGATTTAAAAAATAATTGTGAAAATAAAAATAAAACATTGCAGAAAATTCCTACGTGGTTCTGATGAGATTTGTATGGGCATCGTGAGGAACATGACAGATGAATTTTAAGAAGAATTCCAAGAGAATTATGATCGGAATTCAACAAGAAACAGAGTTCTTAAAATGTTCTGGCAATAATTTCAACCCTAGTGCGAATGATTCATCACATAACCCAAACAAAATTGATTCCAAAAAATTTGCTGATAATTAGAAAGAAATTCTTTAAAATACTCCAAGGGGTTTATAAATCAATTTTCGAAAGATTTCTTTTGTTTTGAATAGAGTTAAAAGAAATGTTTGAAAAGATTTTTTAAGGAATCAAAGTCTCCGGATAGGCGGGAACGGGAATTATATGAAGGATTCCAATAAATTCTTAGAAGGGGTTGGAAGAAAATTCCTAAAAGAATTCAACAGTAATTATTACGCGGAGTGTTTTCTGGTTTATTTCAGAACAATTTCAAGATAATTCAGAGCAGAATTCCAAGTTAATTCTGGAATTCATCATGAGAATTTTGAACAACGAAAAATTAAAACCCAGGAAAAGAATAATTCAGTTTCGGTTTTTACAAATATTTGTTTCCAAACTCCAGCATCTTCAATATTTTCTTTAGAGGACCATGCACTTTACATCTGAAATTGAAACGACAAAAATCAATTTGCAATATTGTTGAGTGATTAAATTCTAAAAACAATAAGACGGTATATACTGAAGAAAATTATGCAACAAATAGAGCAAGACATTCATTTGCTAAAGGATCACTCTGTTTTAATGGTTTATTCTGAAATTCTGATGTAACAATTTGTTCCTATGATATAGTTAATTTATTTTCCCGGTTCTCTTGCAGAATTCACGGGTTTTTCCCGGTTACTTTCCAAATTCCCGGATATTTCCCGGTATTCCCGGTTTGCTGGCCACCCTGAATCAATCAAAATCACTTGCACCCCTGCTTCCAAGTTTGTGTGGTCGTTGGGGGCTTGTGGTTCTGAATATGGACAAACAAGCATAGATAAATTCTATTCCAACTCTTTACTGATGTAAGCTTGGTGGCCCTGAAAAGGGCCGTTTTATTGAAGAGGACATCCATGGCCACTTACGCTTGGCGTGTTTAGTGTAGGTGACAGCATCACGGACCTCATTTTCCACGAACACCTTCAGTACACCTCGTAGATCAGACCGGAGATACGTCAGACACTGCGACGGCGAGCCAGACGACGGATGGTGGTTATCTCGAAAAATATGCGATGACGATTGGCACCTCCTTTGCCACGACCTACTGCAACTTTTGCTCGCCACGCCGTCCGAAGCGAAAATGAGCTGATACCAGACAGCAGCGCTGCTTTATATCTTTTTAGGTTAAAGCAGAATGATGTGCAACCAAGTGGTATAAAAGCTACAAAGACTCCTCCCATTATGAGTAGTTTGCTATCAAGTAGCGACACTGGCTATTTATTCAGTCTCGGAGTAGTACCAATAGATTGAGTGAATCCAATCTTTACTTTTCTCAAATTCGGGAATTTTTCCCTGGAAAATTATGGAAAACCCTGGGAAAACATGAGGAATATTTACTCATCGCTGAGCTCCTGCATTTGTTTCTGAGATAACTAAACTCAAATTTGGGTCGTTCTCATTCGCCGTGATAGATATCGGCGCCGGTGGTTAGCGTAATTACCTCTCACCCCAGCAGGCCTGGGTCCAATCTCAGTCGGCGCCATCGGCATGTTCTAAGGCATAACATCTCTGGGAGCTGCCTCCCTGGCGTCGGTAGCATTTTAGCTCAGTACGGAAAACAAATCTCGCGTCACTTTTCAATAGGTCCTATCTACATTGATCGATTCTCTTCATAGACACTCTCTTTCGTAAATAACTCGGCTTCACAAATCTGGATCAACAATAGAAAAGAGCCCATCAGCATTTGTAAACAAACCGTTCCAAAGCCCTTTACTCACAAAGCGAAGACCACCCACACAAACCAACACCATCATCGGATAGGGGAAACTTCTACCTACAAGATGTTGGTGTTGGTTTGTGTGAGCGGCCTTCGATTTGTG